ATCTTCGGAGGCCTTCTTTGCAGCCTCGGAAGCAGCCTTCTCCACCTCCGCCTTCTCTTTGGCCGCCTTTTCAGCTTCCGCCCTCGCCTGCTGGAGGTCCCTCTCCAGCTGAGCCATCTGCCTCATGGCCTCGGCGTTGTCGTGAATGAGCTTCTTGAGGGACTCATCCTGCTGCGCTTTCTGGAGGCGCCACTCATCAAACCTCCTAGCATGCTCGCCGAGGGCTATGCAGGCCTGTTAAAACAAACAACAAAGTAAGGGGGTAAGCTACGATCACGCAACAGATAGAATCATAAGCCACTATGCAAAAAAAGAGAAGAAGAAAAGAAGGAGAAGAACTTACGGTAAGGGAGGACCGGAGGATCTTTGATTCGAGGGCTTCATCGTCGAGCTTCCCGAGGGCCCTCCTATCCAGCGCGGGGGTAGCCCCACCCAAAAACTCCCGGGGGTCAACGGTGCCATGTGTGATGGCTGCCCCCTTCGGCAGGGAGAACCGTATGTCCTCCCGGGGCAAGCTTGCCTCACCCCCTTGACCCGAGGGCAGGCGAGGAGCAGTTGTTGTCATTTGAGCACTGGGCTCGGAAGCAGAGTGCTCGTCCACCACCACCACTGGGGGAGCCTTCTTCCCGGCATCCCCCTTCTTCTGCCTCTTCCCCTCGGGGATTGGGGCCTTGCCGGCGGCTTTCCGCTTTGTGGCCTCCTCCGAGGGCTCACTGCCCTTCTTCAACTCCCCGAGGGGCTTCTGCTTGACGGGCTCCTTCTGGCTCGGGGCCTTGACCTTTTGTTTTTTGAGGAAGGCGAAGGCGTTGAGATCCATGTTGATACCTGAAAAAAAATAAGGACGGTTAAAGCCGAAGGAGAAAAGATACAACAAAAAATAAATCTACACCTAAATATACATAAGTCTAAGGACCGGATGCTCTCAGCCACTACCTCCGGAGGCTCCCTCAAATGCCGGGAACTTTTCATCCGTTTCCCCCAGGAAGCGGTACCGCCGGAACCCAAGGGTGTAGAGGTCCTCCTCTTGGGTGCACTCCTTGATGGCTATGTTCTTATCTCGGCCCTCCGGGATCTTTGCCGGGATCCTGCCATCTTTCTCGAGGGCGGCGCTCCTCCTCTTTTCATGACGCCTGAACCGGTCACGCAGTTCCCTCGGGAAGGGGCTCTCGGCTAACTTTATGAAGCACCACCGGTCCTTCCACCCCTTGTTTGAGGAGGGCGCCTCAGTAAACAGTTTGAATAAAGCCACCTGCTGCAAATTCGTGAAGCCCTCGTCATTCGCATGCCCCCCCCCCCCCCCCCCCCGCACAAGTTGAAGCTTTGAAAGAACAGGTCCAGGCTAGGCGTTACCCCCCGGGATTTGCAGAGATGGAAAAAGCCCGTGATATAGGAGTGGCTGTTCGGGGTCAGTTGGCAGGGGACCAAACCCACGAACCGGAGGTATTCCCGAAGGAAGGGGTGTAGTGGGAACCAGAGCCCCATCGATACGGACAAGACGTGCACCGCAATACAGCCCTCGGGAGCCCGAGAGAGGACGTCATCGGGACCCGGTGCCACCACAACGGCCGAGGGGCCTACATGTAGTTGGGTGACATAGAGATCTTCCCTGTCAGCTTTCGAATTTATCTCTAAGGCGGCAGTATTCAAGTAAGAATACCCCTCGGGCATATCAAGGGGCTTCCCCTGGTCCGCAATGCTGCCTTTCTTCTTGGAAGCAGCAACCTTCGCCTTCTTTTTCCCGGGGGCCACCCGGATGGGAACCGTATTCAACGGCCGAGAGGTGCTAGCCTCACAAGTGCCCCGAGGGGGGAGAACAGCGACGGTTACCCTCGCGCCCTCTTTCTGCGCCTCTTCCTCAGCTACCTGCCAGGCGAGGGCCAGCTCTTCGTCTTCACACTCTTGTTCGAAGCCCTCGGCTTCCGCCTCAGCAACGAGGGCTTTCTGCAACTCCATCGCGACGACAGCATCTTGTCCCGCTGAGGGCTGTTCGCTTGTGGACTCCACGTCCGAGATGATTTCCTCCTCCATCGAGGGCGCCCCCGAGATGTCTTGAGAATCGCTTTGTGAAGACATCGTCCGTGCTAGTTCGAGGGCTAAAATATGCTAAGTGCTCTAAGCTAGGATTGCTAAGTGTAAGTCCTAAGGCCGCTAAGTACAGCTAGGTGACAAGGGTGGAGGGCAAGTAAGGAACTGACCTTGTAACGGGAGTTAGATCGAAGGCGGTTGTTTCTCTCTCTAGGAATTTGGGCAGAGCTTCACTACAATGATATCGCACAATGGGAAGTGAAGCCGACCATGGGGTATTTATAGGCGCTAGGATCCGGGATTGGGCCTGGAAACCGGGCCTCCGGTTGGACTGCCATCATTACAAACTGTGGTTTCGCCCAATCGGTGACACCCGCCCACGGCCAGCCAACGAGAACGCACCACGTGGCAGCCCCCCCCCCCCAACGGCTATATTCTGACGTTAGATATTCCAACGGCTATATTTCCAACGGCTATATTCTGGGAGCTCCCGGCTACACTTAAGCAGACCACTCCTTCATCAACCAAGAAACCAGCCCCTGGTCTTCTTACTTCACTCCACTTCATCAAGAAGAGCCCCCGGGTACACTTGCCCAGAGACGCTCCCGGTTTGTGCCCCACACACTACATAACAAATGCCCTCGGGCTCACTCCTTCAGAAGCCCACGACTTCATAACAGGTCCACCCCTCGGGGATCCCCCCCTCAGCACTTTGAGGGCCGGGTCACCCCCGGGGAGTACGCCTCATTGACGGACAGCCTACGGCACACAGGTAACGAGAGCCCTCAGATACCCTCCTCACCAACTAATCAACAGACAGGGGACACCCCGGTAACACTTCAACTACTACTCGCATTCATTACGCCCTCGGTCCCCAGATTGAGGGACTCCCCTTTGGCACCTCCCAGGATATCGACAGCAAGCCTCCGGCTAATCAACACGTGAGCCCTCAAGACAAGGATAGCCTTCGGCATTAGCATTGTACTCCATTTCAGACCAGGGCTTCACGTTTTTGATTCATCATTGGGGGAATTCGGTGCACTCGTTTTCCCCCATTAGGATTTTTTCCCACAGGGTTTTTCCTAATGAGGTTTTTAACGAGGCATCCCCCCAAAATGAAACGAAAACCGTCAGCTTTCGGCCCAAATCAGCAGCATGACTACTCTACTCCTTTTCACCACTTTGCAAGTGCTTCAAGGAGTGGGGGACTGGAGAACCCCCTCGGGAAAAATCACAAAAATCACAAACATGACCCCTCAAGTCCCAACATGTGGGTAACTGAGGGACTGCCCTCGGCAGAATAAACAAACAGCAAACTACCCACAACACCACAAACTACAACGGAACAACGGCAGAGGACAAACACAATTACTCCTTTTTCCTCAAGTACCTTTCGGCAAAAGGAGTGAGGGACTCCTGATGGAGTATATGGCCCGGGAACCCCCGGCCCACAGACTCCTACTACTCCAATAAAGGCCCAACGGGCCCAGAAATCACAACAGGCCCAAATCACAGCGCCCAGAGTACCAAGCAGCCCACAATGTGAACCAGGGGTGCCTTCGGCCTCCTGGCCGAAGGCTCTAATTCTCATAGGAGGGCCAAGACAGGAAAACAAAGTTACTGGGAAAATGGCGAAAATCAGTAGCCCTCGGCAACTGGAGCCCTCGGCACTAAGGGGGTCCCCGGTACTCAGAGCCCTCGACTAGTCATCTACTGCCGAGGGCACCTTTTCCGACATAATATCCGCTCCACATGCGTATGGATCACCGTACCCTGTACAACGTCCCATCCAACAGGCGCATTAAATGCGGCCACATGCGGTTGCCAGCGCCAACCAGTTGAGGTGACCTTTCGGCCAATAGACGCTTGACACGTGTCCCTGTCTGGCATTTATTGCTACTATAAATAGCACCCCATTTCCCCATTGTAAACCACGCTGAAAACACTGAACACTTTCTAATATACTTTCTCTCTCTATACTCATTTGCTCTGCTTTCTCTCTTGTTATTCTCCGCAATAACCCCTCGGATAAGCTACCCCCCGGGTACACTATCCATCATTTCATTTAGTTGATAAAAGCAAAACTAAATCTTCATCTCATTTAAGTAAAACACATCTTAGTGTTTAAATACATTTAAGTTCAAGAACAATCATAAAAACCCCTTTATTACTAGTTACATAAAAGAAATATTTCTTTCCCTGAGGATACTGTGACACCTCGAAAATTTTAGACAAAATAAAATATATAAAAAATTTATTTTTAGTCAGATAAAATGCTACGAAAGTGGCATTTTTGGTAATTAAGTGAACGCGATAAAATTTTAACAGTTCTGATATTTTAAAAATGTTTTAACAATAGAAGTAACATTTTTATGATAATTATGAAAGTGACATTGGTTTTAACAAGTATAGTTACTCATTTGACGGAAATATTAGATGTGACATTTTAACCAATGTTAATATAAAAATATTAGTTAGAATAAGTACATTAGATACTACACAAAAATATTAAAAGATGAGTCACCTAATGAACTCCGTATATAAATTGCATGCACACCATAGTAATGCTACAAATAATAATAAAATAAATTACATAAAACAATATACTAGTACATGACAACCTAACTTGTAAAACTAAATAGGTACATAGTAAGAAGTACGAGTAGTATATATATCTACTTGCGTATGCGACCGTATTAATAGTAAACTAGCTATAGGTTAAAACTCTATAATAAAAGGTTGTAGATAATACCTAAACCCTCGACTACTACTCCTAGTATAACTACCGGGCGATCTCAATATATTCTGAACACACATGCAATATGCAAACAAATACACACGCCTAGCTATATATATATATATATATATATATATATATATATATATATATATATATATATATATATATATATATATATATATATATATATATATATATATATATATATATATATATATATTCAAACGCACACATATGTATATATACATAAATACAAGATTTCCAACTCTACAATATACTCAAAACGCAGAGTTAAAAACACAACCATAATCTTCTTCCGGGTTAGAGGAATCCAAAGAAACGTAGAAAACGGTCGTGAAATCAGGGAGTAATCACCAGCCGGAGTTCGCTGAACTGGTTGCCGCCGGAGTAAGGGAGGTCGCTGGAGGCCGTGTAGCTGCAAGACGGGACTGATGTCAGAGGGGAGGGACGCTAAGCCTTCCGCCAGTACACTCTTCCGCCACAAAAATCCGCGCCGCCATTAACTTCTCCATCGTCGGAGAAGGTAAGTTGTTAACTCCTGTGTTTCCGGCGTTCCACATGCGGGATGGAGTGATTAGAATAGGTAGACCCAGCAAGATACTTATTATCAAATAGACATTTGGGTTAAGTAGTAAATCAACTAAGATAAATATAAATAAAGAATCACTAGGAAATGAAGTGAATTAGTAGTTTATTTGACGGATAATTTCTAACGAGTGGGCCAATAAGTATTACGAATTACTTGGATTACCTTTATCGGATTATTAATTTATTACAAAAATCTAATTAACTAATCATAAGCATTAAATTAACCGATTAAATAACAAATAATAATAATTATACTAATGAACGATGAATTATATGACCCGAATAATTAAATGGATGAGATTTAATTAAACATATATTAAAGTTGTAAAGGGACTGTTAAGGTTGAAACCCGGATAATTTAGCAAAATAGAATAAGATAAATTATGATGGAATAGAGGTAATTAGTAAATTAAATTACTGGTATAACCGGGTAATTAAATAAGTTAAACTAAGGTGGGCTAATTAATCTCAATTTATAAACAAATTATTAATTCTAGAATTTTAATTAATATTCTGAAGGTGAATTTGAAGAAGATCAAGGTAGAAGCTTTGGTTAAGATTAAATGTGACTTGAGGTAAGTACTATGTCAACCAAAATCTATACTTTTCCTCGTAAATATATGTATGATTTTTCATTGAAATTATTTGAGTATTTTATACTTCATGAGATTTTTAGTATTTAAATTTATGTATTATTTGTGATTGGAAATTATGTTGGTTATAATATTTGAGATTGGGTGATATTATTTTTTAGTATTTGAATTTACGTGTGAATCGTTATTTGGATTGAGACTTGAGCCATTTATGAATTATTCTATATTTTGAGCATTTTGAGAAATTTGACCTTAAAGTTTAAAGGATAAAGTAACCCGTATTTTGGAAAACTATATGTATGTGTGATAGCTATGAAATTTTGGAATATACTAAAAATAATAATATTTTATGGTGTTTGAGAAGGTGAACTATTTTGTAAATTGTGAGTTACATTTTTTTAGGATATGTCTATGTGATGATTTTACTGTTGAATAAATTAAATTTGGGGAAGTTATGTGAGTAGTAAACCCCTGCAATTTTTGGAGATTAATAAAGATAAAATGAACCTTTTAATGTGTCCTCCACGACCTTGACTGTGGAGAGTGATTAGGGTTGCTATTACTTGTCTACTCATAAAGAGTTGTTATGTCGGTGTCCACGACCTTGACTGTGGAAAATTGTTATGTTGGTGTCCACGACCTTGACTGTGGAGAGTGTTAAAATTCGGGCAAAAGACCCTGTTATTCAGTAGCAGCAGTAACCTAGTCACTTATATAGGGAATCCCTTTTTGGTGGAGTATGAGGACGTTGACGTCCGAACTACTTGGACTTCTTACTACCCGTAGGGCTTGGAATCCCTTTCAGGGGGTCTGCACACTTAAGGTAGATGTTCAGTTTCCTCAGGTTAGAAGTGGTACCGGCAAAAGTTTCGGGGTGGCCGTACATAACAACGGACCATCGGGCTCAATTAAAAATATCGAGCACCGCCCTTTGAAATTACTTAGGGACCTTAGTATAAAGAGTTGGAGAAAATATTTTATTATTTTACTCGTAAGAGTTGTTAAAGTACTTGTTTGGAGAAATACTATTTGGTTGAATGAAATTTAAAGTTATTTTGAAGACTAATTATTTAAGGAAATGGTATTTTCACCCTACTATGTGAATTACTTCTTGTTCATAAATGTATTTTGAGAAATGATGTATTTAGCTCTTATTTTGAGAAATGGGTATTTATAGTGTTTGAATTATTATTTTAATTAAAAAATGTGATTTCGAATTATACAAGTTTATTTTGAGTTATAATTGTTATTCGAATAATAAAATTATTTATGGATTCCCGAAGTACAAATACTTTTGGGTTTGATTTGGGCTGATTATGTTGAATATTGTTCACAAGTAGTTATAAGTATTTCAAGATGAATATTGGTGATTGATTTATACTTTGGAATAATTGTGAGAATATTTGGTGGTTTATGTACATTGGTATTTTGAAATTTTATTGTTTGAAATAAGTACTTATATTTGAAAAATTATTATTTTACATATGAATTGTGTTATGAGAATATTTTGTATATATTGTTTTACTTATGATTTATATAAAATGTTTTGAAAAAGGTTTCCTCCAATATGTTTTACAAAAATGTATCAAACGTGATTATTTTACGGGGTTGAGTGTGACTTACATAGCATTTCAAGCTAATTTTTGTTTCTGTTGTTCTCTCTGTACATGGTTTTGTACATGTGGTGAAATGGTGAAGATGTTGATTTCGAGAGCTTCCGCTAGAACACATAGACTAGAGTTCACTGAGTAATTGATTTTAAATTTTATTTTTTAAGACTAGAGTTGAACAATTAATTATGGAAAATTCAAATTTAGTTTAAGTTGTTTTAATTTAGCATGTGCACTCGGTTAGGGGAGAACCGAGTGTGACGGTAACGCCCCATTTCCCTTTGAAATTCCGCTGCACAATTATGATGTTTCAAATAAAGTTAATAAATAAAGTATTATTTAAATGTATTTTGGGCGGGAAATTTGTGGGTGTTACAGATACGAACTCTACTTCACTATACTATGTATAAGTGTTAGTATCGGAATTTATTTTGATGCACTACGACAAAGTTCACGTTAGGCCTCCTCAAATGATGTTGTTTTGGACATGGTTGTAGAGGAGGATGGACAGTATTTGCACAATGGTGCATCCTTTTTAGATGGCCATGAACATGATGATGATGATGATGATGATGATGATGATGATGATGATGAACAAACACATCAATGATGGTGCAATGACCGAATCAGATGAAGATGATGGTGATATTGTGACCGCAACTGCCCCATCTAGCCATTATACTAGATTGTATGATCTCCCATCCGAGTTTGATGATGCGTGGAAGAGTGGAACATGTGTGAACAGGTTTACACAAGACGCTGAGTTTGAGGTTAGTCAACAGTTTGACGACAAAGAACAAATCATCAATATGGTGAGCTTGTATTCTATCAAACGCAACCAATTTTATCATGTGTTGGAGCCTGCCAAACATAAGTGGGTGGCAAAGTGCAAGAGAAAGAAGGAACGTGATTGCACCTGGAGAATACGAGCCACAAAGAAACATGTCAGCCTTGACATGTTCACAATTGTGCGTTATCCAGGACCTCACTATGCTACCTGTGTTGGCAACAATGACAACAATGATGATGTGGCGATTTTTTTCAGATTTTATCTCCCGAGATATTTTTGACCTTATTCGCACTGATCCATCCCTAAAAGTCCATACTATTATTGAGTTGTTGAAGGAAAAGTATGGTTATACAGTTTCGTACAGACGTACATGGTTGGGCAAAAAAAAGGTCATTGCTTATTGACTGCCTTACAATGGATCACGAATTGTGCACGATCAATCTATGCTTCGTACAAAGTAACGACCAAAGTTCACATGTATTAAGAATGAGATATATGAAAGTGGCAGAGGAACCATAAGATGCGGAATATGTAAAACAGACCGGTCATAATAGGGCCACATGTGTGAAGAGATCTTCAGGAGATGGTGGGGGGTCCACTGGGTAATGATTTAATTATTAAAATCCATAACTCATACTAATGTGAAATAAAAAATATTGATTTAAAATTATTAATTAATTATTGACTAACACACCTTTTCATTTTTTGTAGGCACTATGGAGGTGTCAGCGGATCCAGGGCCGATTGATCCTTCTGTCCTTACATTGCAGGCCACGAAGACCATGAAAACTTGTAGTCTCTCTATTATTTGACTTACTCATATACATCAAATGTTGTAGAAACACTATACCTATTTACGTATTTCCACCTACAAACTGATGGATATTGGTTATGCATATTGGATGCCTATACTGAATTTTTATACCGTGTTTCTAAGCATTTTTGTCGTTTTGTATCATTTTTACTAATTTGTGTTTTGTATGTGTTATGTAAGTCGCCAAACGGTGAACTGGGACAATCGGGATCGATTTAAGACGCAAAACAAAAATTTTCGCCACAATGGGGCACCCAACCGGCCTTGGTTGGCCACCGACCGACGCCAGTCTGAAATAGAACGTTTTGGTGTCAACGTTCTTGGGGAGGGCAAACTCGTCAAACGGGATGACGACTTATAAGTCACCAAACAGTTTGGCGACTTTGCCCAACCCAAGTTAAACCCGACAGTATATTGGTAAATAGTTTTAACCCAACATTAATTCCATAAATACGTAATTAAAATGCATTAACCTGAGAAAAAAACTCTATAATTTATTACGGACTTTTATCTACCGAAATGCCAATACTGGTATATGGCCCTTATTTGACCCACCGGCCAACTATACATCGTTCCTATGGACCAACATGAATATACACCATCATATAAATATTATCTAGACCAAGACGAATATAATATGTGGTCACAGAAATATCATGTCACGCCCCGGACCTATCCGGACACGTCTACAACCTGCCGTACAGTACGAATAGTCAATCGCAGTCCAACACATCCATACTATACAAGGCGTCAGGAATATCATTCACACATAGTACACCCATAAACAAACATAATGTAAAAAAATTCATTAAAGCAACGGAAACAATATTACAAGTGTTCAAGCCAACTTGGCATAACTAGGCATACAAGCCTCCAAATGATTGTTCAGAAAATAATATCCATGAACATTAATGTAATTGTTTTTAAAACAGAACGGAAGAAGCACGAACCACGTCTTCTTTCCTTGATCTTCCCAAAGCAACGGGCACTGGTAGAAACCTTCAAGTCCTACCTGAAACTGTGAGGTGGCCTCCCCCGTGAATGGGAGGTCAGTACTTGGAAGCATTTGACAAGTACAATGATAACTATACTAAGTATAATCAATGTTTCAATTTCTAATACCCTCAATCTAGGGTGATATATATATATAGGCCATAACCCTCGGTTACCCCTTTTAAAATAATATACTTACTTTATATAAAGTCAAGTAGTCGACCCGTGGGCCCATATTCATCTAGAATTCACCATTTTAATTCCCCGTGACTACAAGTCACGACAACCTCATAGGGTTCCCTTGAGTCCCGGTTGTATAGCAAGGGCTCGGCCCAACGACATTTCTATACAACCCTTCAACTCAATTTAACACATTAAAATTGTATGGCAAGGGCTCGGCCCAGCTACGTTTCCATACTAACCATAACTTCGTGGCAAGGGCTCAGCCCAACTACGTTTCCACGAAGATCACAAATACATGGCAAGGGCTCGGCCCAACTACGTTTCCATGCTAATCACATTACATGGTAAGGGCTCGGCCCAACTACATTTCCATACAATCCTAGAGTCCGACTCTAATTTATTTTCATAGTCCAATTCTCAAGCAAATCATATGCCTAGAATCAATTCACTTGGGTAGCCTTTAAGCCTACCCCTAACACACCTTAGTGTTCATATAATTCGACCCTAAAGTATCTCTTAAGACTACTTAAGACATCTCTATTCACAATCCTATCTCTTAGGATTAATTCCATCATTTATTTATATTAATCTCCCGACTAGTATTTCAATATTAGCCGGATAATCTTAGAACAACCAAGTTTTTCATTCATAGCCAAATAATTCATCTCAATTGGATTTTCCATTCCATATATGATTTAATCTCAATATAAAAAATATCACTTTTATCCATTCATGAATTCCTTACATGAAGTAAAAGTATATTTTATCACAGCATTTCATAGTTAATCCCATGAACATGCCATCACTTTCATATCACATAATCATACACAATTTATTCTAAATTTGTATATTATGCTTCACTTCTCATATCAATAGTATTTTCATTTAGGCATTATTTGAATAATCCATGCAAATCACATTTAATTACCTTTGTTAATCTTATGAAATTAACTCACTAATTATAAGCAATATAGTCAGTCATTCTCACCTTATGATGTGCTCAACTAGATGCCTTTGTGAAGTTCTTAGATCAACCCCCGTTTTGGCTGATTAAGCCAAGAATTCTGTACAGCAACTGAAAGTCGCCCGGCTTTCGCAAAAGCCGCCCAGTGTTCGTGTTCTGCATGTCACGCTCCGGACCTAGCCGGACACGTCAACAACCCGCCGTACAGTACGAATAGTCAACCACAGTCCAACTCATCCATACTATACAAGGCGCCATGAATATCATTCACACATAGTACATCCATAAACAAACATAATGTAAAACATGCATTTAAAACAGCTGAAGCATTTAATAAAGTGTCTTAGCCACACTTTGGCAAACATGGGCATGCAAGCCCCCAAATAGTAATTCAAATAATATCCATGAGCATTTTTATAATTGTTTTGAAATCAGAAAAACAGAAGAAGCACGAACCACGTCTCCTCCTCTGAATACCCCGGGCAACGGGCACCGGTAGCAACCTTCAAGTCCTACCTGAAACTGTGAGGTGGCCTCCCCCGTGAAGGGGAGGTCAGTACTTGGAAATATTTGACAAGTACAATAGCAACTATACTAAGTATAATCAACGTTTTAATTTCCCCGACCCTCAACTTAGGGTACTATTATATTATAGGTCATAACCCTCGGTTACCCCTTTTTCTTTTAAGTGTACTTACTTTATATAAAGTCAAGTAGTCGGCCCGTAGGCCCATATGCGTTTAGCATTCATCGTTTCCATTCCCCCGTGACCGCAAGTCATGATAACCCCGTGGGGTCCCGTCGAGCCCCAATTGTATAGCATGGGCTCGGCCCAACTACATCTCTATACAATCCTCTAACTCGATACATCATATCAAAATTTGTATGGCAAGGGCTCGGCCCAACTACGTTTCCATACCAACCATAACTTCGTGGCAAGGGCTCGGCCCAACTACGTTTCCACGGAGGTCACATATACATGGCAAGGGCTCGGCCCAACTACGTTTCCATGCTAATCATATTACATGGCATGGGCTCGGCCCAACTACATCTCCATGTCATCCTAGAGTCCGACTCTAATTATTTTCATAATCAAATTCTCAAGCAAGTCCTATGCCTAGAATCAATTCCCGGAGGTGGCCTTTAGGCCTACCCCTATCACACCTTAGTGTTCATACCATTTATCCTTAAGTATATCTTGAGACTACTTAAGGCATATTGATGGATAGTGTACCCGGGGGGTAGCTTATCCGAGGGGTTATTGCGGAGAATAACTAGAGAGAAGTCAGAGCAAATAAGTAAGAGAGAGTGTGTATATTCGATATGTATTAAGTGTGGTTTACAATGAGGGAAAGGGGTACTATTTATAGTAGTAATAAATGCTAGATAAGGACATGTGTCAGTTTTCTGGTGGTCGAGGGGTCACCTCGACCGGGGTGGCACTGGCACTCGCATGTGGCCGCATTAAATGCGGTGGTTGGATGTGACGTTTGTACTTGGTACGGTGATCCAGGCGCATGTGAAGAGGATATTCTGTCGAGGTGGATGCCTTCGGCTGAAGGGTGTTGGGCCGAAGGCTCTTCTAACCGAGGGCTCCTACCTGCCGAGGGCTGCAGGTGCCGAAGGCTTGGTTTTCAAGCCTTGTTCTCTTGTGATGCCTCTTCTGACCGAGGGCTCCTACCTGCCGAGGGCTGCAGTTGCCGAAGGCTTGGTTTTCAAGCCTTGTTCTCCTGTGATGCTTCTTCTAACCGAGGGCTCCTACCTGCCGAGGGCTGCAGTTGCTGAAGGCTTGGTTTTCAAGCCTTGTTCTCCTGTGATGTTTCTGAGCTCGATTCCGTCACTGGTAGCCTTCGGCCATGGGGCCGAAGGCCCCCCTTTGCGTATTGTGGGCTGCTTAGAGCTCCATTTTTCTGGGCTTGGCCCGTTTGGGCCTGTTGGGCCTGATTGTAGTAGAGGAAGTATGTGGGCCGGGGGTCCCTGGGCCATATACTCCATCACATATCTATTCACAATCCTACCTCTTAGGATTTGTTTCATCATTTATTTGTATTTAATCCCCGACTAGTATTTTGATACTAATTGGATAATCTTAGAACATGCCAAGTTCCTATTCCCCAACCTGCATTTCATTTCCATTGATTTCTCAACCCAAGTATAATTTGATCTCAATATAAAAAATATCACTTTAATCCATTCATGAATTTCATACATGGAGTAAAGTATATTTTATCACAATGTCATCATAGTAATTCCATTAACATGTCGTTCTATTCATTTCACATAATCATACACAATTATTCTAAATTTGTATATCATGCTTCACTTACTCTTATCCATATTATTTTCATTTAGGCATTATTAGTCATTAATAATCCATGAAAATCCCATCTAATTACTTTAGGCATTCTTATGAAATTAACTCACTAATTATAAGCAATATAGTCAGCCATCCTCACCTTATGAAGTGCTCAACTAGCTGCCTTAGTGAAACCCTCTCGATCCGTCCTCGTTCTAGGCCGTTCAAGAGTGAGAAATCTGGAAATTTAGTGAAAGCCGGGCGGCTTTCGTGAAAGGTGGGCGGCTTTCGGGCCTGCAGCTCGAAAACAGTCCCCAACAATGGCGGTTTTCCGGCGGTTTCGACTCCTATCGATTCCACAACTCTTCTAAGTTAATTACCACCATTCTTTATCAATATTCTACACTTTTAAACGTGTAGAACATCATGTTTAATCCACCACATGATCTATTAAAAATCATACACAAATAACTAGCTAAAGAAATGGTTGTGTTCTTACCTTTCTTCTAGCTAAATTCCTCTTGGATTTTCCTAGCTTCTTTCTCCCTCCAACTTAGTCTTTGAGAGCCTTGGTTCTCCTTGGACTTCCCTTCTAGCTGATTCGTATGGTTCAAGAATGGAGGAGGGAGGATATCATCTCAAATGAATGTTGAGAAATGATGGGAGGTGTGGTTTGTCCTCA